GTTATAGAGAGACACTGAATTTATTGCACTTTTTAGACTGAATACTTATTTTGATGTTAAACTAAGCCATACGTTGTAATATAAAACAATTTCTGAATTATTTGTATTTATGTTGTTGCTTAATTAGACAACAGCCCAACTCTCTGGTCTGATTCTTCCCTGTTGGGATAAAGGTAACATTCTTGACCAAAATACAGCATAAGCTTCTTAAACTTCATTCCCAAACATTTCTTCTCAGTTATTTAAAAGGTTTGTAACAAATTCCTGCTGGGATTGAGAAAGGATGCAAGTCTTCGCATAACCTTCCTGTATGTTCAGCATACCCATGTGCATTTCGCAGGATGATATTTAATAGTTTGCTCCTATCTACAGTCCTGTTATGTATTTAAAACACACACACACACACCACACACACAAGATATGGCTTCCACTCTAAAAATCCTGGAAGATGTTCAAAATGGAACTAACTAGCACTGAACAGTCATCTACCTTCTTCTGTTAAAGCATGAAGTATAATACACTCAAAACCTGCAATGTATTTCTTTCCCTATTTATATGACCTCTCTTTATATATGTATTTCTATTATAGGTCACATTTCTCTGTTTTGCTAACGATACAGCTATTGCCTCTAAGGTATGGTATCTGAGTAAGAAGGCTGCATCTATTTAATATTTCATTGTGGGTTGTTCTGATATCAGTGGCATTCTCAATCACTTTTTTTTACATAGAAATTAAAAGATATTCCAGAAAGATAACTGATTAGCAGAACAGGCCAGTAGTCAGGATATATGGACATTCAGTGACCTAAAGTGATGGGTTGTGTGTGTTGAGAAGACTTTCTTCTTCTCCTTATTCAACCCTCACCCACACCCCTCCAATAACTCTGGGAGAAAAAATGATGATACCAACCTTCTATTAGCCATCCTGATCTTTACTACGAATGGCTTTTTTATGTACGAAGGCTGATCAAACAGGCTTTATACCTTGCAGATGATTTCTCAACCTGCTATTCTACTGCAAAATTAGAAACAATGATTGGCAGTTCTTCTGCTATTTACTTTGGTGTGGGGTTTCCAGTTGACAAAAATGGACTTCTGCATTGGTAGACAGATCCTGAAAACTGATGCAAACAAAAATTGGAACAGACTAGCCTATTAATGTGAGACGAACTCAATTTTGCTAGGCGTTTTTATAGACCAAAATACTTAAAGACCGAATCATATACCAGCTTTGAAAAACCCAGTGGTGGAAGAGTTCTGCTGAATTGCCCTTGAAGATTAAGATTGCATTGGTTGAAAAATGATCAGAGGTAATTAGACATTCCAGTGTCTAACAAACAAACATAACTGGACATTTATAATATTACTTACTGTGATTTTATGATTTTATGATTTTTGCCTGAAAGAACAATGAGTTTAGACAATAACCTCCATGTGCATGAAGGATAATCTGTGTGGATGGTCATTCTGAAAGAATCTGAATGTCAGCCATGTAGAGCAGATAGAAAGAAATTCCACATAAATGTTCAAAATTATGTTTTTTTAAAGGCAACTTATGTTTCATTTGGGCTCGATTTCAAGTAATACCTAACTGTAAACAGTAAAAATTGAGTTTTAAAAACAAGAATCCAGAAGAGGGCCTCTTTGACTGGGTTACTCAAATGAAATGCACTTGGCCTTTGTTTCCTACTCTTATGTGGACATTATATTGCTTATGTTTTTCCAAACACTTTTTGGTTGAGGCCTTTTGGCATAGATAGCTTTACTGCTTCTGTTTGCTTGCCCGTTCTGTTATGTTTAAAAAGCATAATCTAATGCGTGCTCATCCATAAGTAAACCTATTACACTTCATGAGGATTTGGGGCAGCTATGTTTGTATACAGCCGTATCTTAAGTTATGTTATTGTGGTGTTAATTTGTTTTGTTGTACATTATTTTTGTGTTCATACTACGAAGAAAAGGTCCACTGTCTGGATGAAAAGCTCATTGGTAGAATTTGCTGATCATTTCCCTACACAAGTGTATTGTTCTCAAGTGTGCTCTGTTTGGTTTAGGAATTGGCAACCAACTCTGTGGAGCTTCCAGATGTTCTGAAATCATTCCACTTGTGCAGTTTGCACGAACAGGAGGTTCTTTTTCTAAAGGATATATGCAAACCAGCAGAGACTAGTGATGACTTCAGACAAAGGGTAAGAGAATCTTATATGTAGCTATTAGTCTGCTTTTCATTCAAAGATCTGTTAAGGTGACCTAGTGTTCTGGATGAAAAGAATCTGAAGCATTAATCGGTACATTCATATGTACTACTCTGTGCTTTAAAGGATAGAAGGTTTGTTTTGCATAAGTAATATCAAAATTCTGTAGCAACAAGTCGGAACTAGAAAGAAACAGCCATGGAAATAAGTATGTCTAAGCTCTGACTGAAAATTTATTAGGAAAAAAGGTGACGGTGACAGCATAAAAATTACAGTAGATGCTTGCTTGGAAAACAAACCCACACACTCATTCATTCACTCACTCTCTCACTCATGCTGGCTGGAGAATTCTGGGAATTGAAGTCCACACATCAAAAAGTTGATAAGGTTGAGAAACACTGCCTTAGAGAAAACAGGTAGATGTTGATGAATGACCTATTTTTTTCTTCTCTTTTCACAAGAATTGTCCTTCACGAATACTGTGTGTGATGCGACTGTCTTCTTCATTTCCAAGGCTCAGAGTTGATACTGTATTCACTCTGCTGAGCAAGTACAGTGCTGCAATAAGGTGTACTGAGGAAATGTACTCATTGCAAAAACATGTGTTGGACTCAACCCATACAGAGAATGATGACACTAACCAGTCGGTGTCATCAATTGAAGATGATTTTGTTACGGCTTTAGAGCATTTAGATGAAGATGAGCCAGCAAAGATGACCCATTCTGGTTAGTGCTCCTGGAGTATTGTAACTTCTTCAGTATTTTGGGTTTCGCAATATATGTTTAAATGAATTGCATGCTGTAATTAACTTTTATTTTGCAGAAATATTCTTGCATATAATATATTTTTGTATGTAATATATTTTTGCATTTCGGTGTTGCTGTGTCCAGCCCCGTATCAATAGAAAGAATTGTTTCTAGCAGACTAGTATTGGGATCAGATATACCCCATTAAAGGCATACAAATATCTAGAAGCCAGAAGTTACTAAGCATAACACAATTTACTATAAAAATAATCATGCCTTACTTGAGACATTCTATTTTCCTGTAAACAGTACAATTAGATGTAAGTCATTTTGTACTTATAAAGTAGAAAACAAGTCACAATTATGTAGAATGTGGCACGTAATTGACCCTTCAGGCTTTTAAAACAAAATAGTGTGCCATTGAATGCTTCTAGCATAATTGTAGCAGTTGTACTATTACAACAATGCAAAGATCATATATTGTGAATTAATATCGACACAAAGCTCACAGTTATAGCACACAGACAAGCATAGCAGCCTATGCACAATCACCAGAGATTGTACTGTATATAATTACTGAAATAGATTGTTGTTTCAATTTTCTTTTGTTCTGCCAACCGTAGAAGTAAGAAATAAAGCCGCTCTTTTTCTTGGTATCAGCATAGCTCTGAGACTGTCCCTCTAAATGTCTCAGATAATGTGAGTTATTCAAGAATAGCTCTTCGAGAGAGACATATCTTTTGGCGAATTAATGCCACCATATTGACCTTGCAAACATTACAGGCATTTAAACAATCAGTGCTCACTATATTCAGAAAGGAGAATTGACCACTTTTTAAACCACACGTACACCACAGTATGGAGAACATACTTTTTAAAAATTGGCACAGAATGCAAATATTATAAAAATATAAATGCCTTTGCCTTTACAGATGTCTGTACCATTTTTTATCTTAATATAATGAGAAATATTTTCAGGTTTGTATTCTTTGAGTATCTTGCATTGAGGAAAAACAGAACCACTGTGATTTGGCGGGGATGAGATGTACTTAGCTAAAAGTATTGGGTTTTTCTACCAAATGAAAATGCTGTGGATCACAGATGCACGTTCCTTGGGCAACAATAGTTATGAGAAATTCTGATTGGAGAGAGTTATTTGTTTTCATATTTTTCAGAATACAGCCAGTTTTCTATAATTTCCCTAATGTCCCATTATTTTCAGATGTCCCATGTGTTCCAGTAAGAGTGGAATGTCTGTAAAAGTAAAAACAGTAAAAACTAAAGCATCAATTTGTCAAAGACTGAGGAAAGGGGACACATGAAAATCCTGTTTTTTTAATTATTTTGGTATCTTCTTAGGCGCATAAAGTGCCA